CAACGCACCAAAGATAAGCTCAGCTGGAACCACGACCGGCTTTGGATTTGACCCCCGACAGTGCAATTACTGGAAGCAAAAAGGAAATCAATAATCAGTCCGAGTGTGGTGCGCTTGCGTTTTCGTTTTCGAAGCGTCGGCGACTGCGACATTTTTTTTTGTAGTAAGTTTTATTTATGTAAATGATATATTTACATAAATTCTAAATCCCTTACTTCACATCGATACGCCATATAATTTAATATATAATTATATGGATATCAATTTAACATTTGAAACTTCCACCACCAGTGTTGGATTAGTCTCAATCGATCCTGGTTTTGTGGAGAAATAAGATGTCACTCTTTTGAAAAAAGATGAAAGCCTTATTTCTCCAAACAAAAATTTGTGAAGCCTCACAAATAAGGATCAACATGAATCATCTCTGGTTGGTGGTAAACAAACGTTTGTTAAGGGTTGAAACATCCAACCAAATGTGGAGACGCAAACAATTTGGCGTTCAACTTCCCATTTCAATTTTTAAATTTTCGATGTGACATTCAATAATTCCATTGGAAACAACCACATCCTTCACACGTCACATCATCATTTGTAATGCTGTGACTTTTCCCAATCAAGTGGTGGGAGGGCGGGAGTCCCTTTTAAATAAGGGCAATTTTTCACCCACCCCGTTTCTCACTCCCACCCAAAAATTGGGGAATCATCGGGTGCTCTGACACTTAGCATCAAATCACTTCGTGTCAACGTTTGACAATGATGGAATCATGGCCCATCCAACGCACCAAAGATAAGCTCAGCTGGAACCACGACCGGCTTTGGATTTGACCCCCGACAGTGCAATTACTGGAAGCAATTCCAGGAAATCAATAATAAGTCCGAGTGTGGTGCACTTGCGTTTTCGTTTTCGAAGCGTCGGCGACTGCGACTATTTCTTTGTAGTAAGTTTTATTTATGTAAATGATATATTTACATAAATTCTACTTACCTTACATTACAACGATACGCCATATAATTTAAGATATAATTATATGGATATCAATTTAAAATTTGAAACTTCCACCACCAGTGTTGGATTAGTCTCAATCGATCCTGGTTTTGTGGAGAAATAAGGAGTCCGAAATGGCCTGCCACTTGGCCAAAATCTGCCAAAATGGCATTTCGCTGGTGTTCACGCCTGCCACGCACCAAAACGACCGTGGATGTGAAATGTGCCAACGTCTGTCCGGTGAAACGAAGCAGCGAAAAACATCATACAACGCTTGGAGGGGCAAAAGATTGTGACGTGGACAGCCAAACTGTTCAGGCACCTTCAGAGTATTGTCTCCATCCGGTACTTGCAGTGCAGCGCTACATCAGTAGAAATTGGTGCCCCCCTACTTCCGCTTTGATAGATTTTCGAAGGTCGGTTTTTCCTTTTTTGTCTCCTGGTTTCGGGGGGTGCTTTCGAAGCCATGGACTGGGCTGCACCGGAGCGAGTGGCACTGCGCTGACCATGCTCTCTGCCGGACGCACTCGCGACTTGTTGCGACTGTGTATTTGTAAGTAAGTAACCTGTTGTATTGGTCCGGTTCCTGACCTTTACGCGGTTACCGGTTCTCCCCTTGGTGTACTCTCCCTCTACGCGATCCTCCTGGTTTGACGCGTTGCGTTCTTGTGTGCACGCCGGTGTTTGCGGAAGTCTTTGTGTGCACTCGGAAGTTATGACCGGGAAACACAACAGTTAGTAAAACCTAACTTGCAATAAAGGAAATCTGAAAGATTCAGTTGCCCTGTTTCCTGGTCCGGTCTTTTTGGTTGTATTTTGATTTTTCTTGATTTCACGGAAATCACAGATTGGAAACTTGGAATGCTCAAATGTTTGACATACACAAGGGTTATGTCAACGGTTTTTTATACATGTGAACACTTTGGATTCTTTGAATGTACGTAACATTAGTGGATCAAAGATGAAAGGGTTGGAGCAAATTTTTGTAGTTCTCGTTCTCGGCGTTGCCCAGACTTCTAGAAGTCTCATGGCAGAGGACACAGTTGGAGCCCAGGTGATGCAACTACTTAGTGCCAAGGGTTTGATTGGCAAGAAGTTAGCTGTTTTCAACGTGGATGAAGCAGATTCCATTGCAACACAGGTATGCAAGGATTTAGGAGTGATTTGTGAGTTGCGACATGTGCAAGTCGTGAAACGTTTGATCAGGGAAGCACACTTGGCCGAGCCCATCGCCAAGCGTCTGCGTGGAGACGATAGCCTGGACCCTTTGCATTTTCAGTTGCTTGTGGATAGGGCTTCAAATTTACAGACAGGGAACAGAACTACGGTGGTTTCGCCAGTTGATGATTTTTTGGAGTCAGATGTTAGGGCATCACGTAGAGCAGCACGTCATGCAGAACCTTGTGAAGAGAGATTTAAAAAGGAAGCAGGTCAGAAGGAATTCTGGTCACGTGAACTCTATAAAGAGCTGAAACGTATGGGAGCGCCGGCCTTGGAACATTTAGAGCATTGCGTCAGTGATTCACACATTCATTTGGCACTGGCTGGACGGACACGGTATAGCACTTTGAAGAGATACATTAAAACTTGGAGATCCTTTCAACAATGGCAGACTGCAGTCAGGGGCAATGCAGGTTCACCGGAAGTTGGAGACCTAGTTGAATATATCTTTTGCAGATATGATGAACCTTGTGGACCGACTGTGCCACCTCTCATTGTGAAGGCTGTAGTTTGGATGGAAAGGACAGCATGCTTGGATGTCCGTGCTCGGATAGGAGATTCACACGTTGTTGGATCTGTTAGGGACTATGTGGTTGAGATGCTCTCCAAGGATTCAGCACCCACAAAGCGTGCGCCTCGGTATCCAGTGGTTATGATGGAATCATTTGAACATGTTGTTGAAGATGAGAGCCAACTATTGGGCATCAGAGTGATTGCATGGATCAAGTTGGTAAAGCTCTGGGGTACATTGAGATGGGATGATGTGCAGAAAATGATCCCAAAGGAGCTCAAGTATTTTGGAGGCCGAATGACAACGGTTTTGAGGACAACAAAAACCACAGGACCAACAAAACGGGTCCGAGAGCTGCCGGTCTGTATCTCAGAGCATGCTTACATTTCAAATCAATTTTGGCTGAAGACGGGATTTGACCTGCTAAAGAATGATGCTGCTTTCGACAGAGACTATTTGCTGCCGAAGTTGAACAGTAGTTGGACAGGTTTCAGAAAGGTCATGGCCACATACAACGACATCAGTTCTTATTCTGCTTATTTGAGAAGAAAGGTCAAGAGGCCAGGTCAGGAGGAATTGATTATCCATCCAACGATGGCTGCATACTGGACGGAGCACTCAGAGAGGGCGACGTTGCCGACAGGTTTGGCATTGCTGCGGGCGCCTAAGGAAGAGAGAGACATGCTGGGACGTTGGAAACCCGATGGTTCAGACACTTATCTGCGTATGTACAATGGAGTGGTCAGCCGACTCCAATTGCAGTTTGCAAAGGCGGCTAGGACCATTGAGCGTTCCAGCACATTGGACGAGAGGGACATACTTGAGAGTGCGATGTCTTGGATCACTGATAGATGTGAGCCGTTGTCAGATGAGAGAGTTCAGATGATACTGAAGCATTTGCAGAAGTCCATGGAGTGCAAAGCAATTCAGGGTTGGCAGACAGTGGAGGAAGATCAGCAGGAGGATGACATGCTTTTTGGGCCGCTGACTGAGGATATAGACGATGTAGAGGCAGTGGACACAAGCAACGTAGTTGAGCGCAAGGAGCAACGACTGCCAATGTTTGTGGTGGTCAACAATGGTAGCAAGTGCAGACGTTTGCATAAGAGCCGTGGAGGCTGTTGGATGGGTAGAGAGATGAACTTCAAGTCGTCTGTGGAATTCAACACGCTGCCAAGCCCTGAGGAGTATACACATTACTGCAAGGTTTGTTGGCCAAAGACAGGGCCTGATACGAATTCAGAGGTTTCATCATCATCTTCATCAACTTCCAGTTCCAGGAGTGCCAATAGTTCTTCCAGTCAAGAGAGCGAATAGCGCGCTTGAGGAAGGATCAGTCCCAAACGGGCCGGTGGATCCGAAACTTGTCGAAGACAGCAGGAAAATGTTGCAGTGGCTGCAACCGGTGAAGATGTTGGTTTTGATTGTCTGTCTTTGACTGATCGTTTTTGCATTGAAGCTGTCCTGAATTTTGTTGTCATGAATCACATGGTATTTTTTGGGAAAAGCATCGGTGAGATGCCGGTGAGTTGAGTTAGGCTTGAGGGATCCGCAGATTTCTCCGGAGCATCGGTTCAGCAGAAGCCGAGGGTTAATCAGGACATAGTCGAAGACAGGTTCAATTTACTGAAGCCTTTTCTCACGCGTGAATTCGTTTTTTCTTTTGTTTGATCTTGTGGAATGTTTTGATTTCCTAAATTGGTGCGTGGAAATACAGTTTTATCACTGACTTTCAGATTGCAGTGCATCTCATTGGAAAAGAACATTTCTTTCAGCTGGTAGCTCGACTGCGGTGAACATGGCTGCACCAGAGCAACTGGCTTTGGAAGAGGCTCTCAAAAAGGGGAGCTCAGATTTGAAGTTCACGTTGACACGAAACGAGGTTTCAGATGAACTGCAAGCAGCTTTTTATAGGAATGGAGTTACAACTATTCCGAAGTTCTCCTCATTCTTTCGTTCAGAGGATGATTTGGTGACTGTCCTGAAGGAATCCTTCAACACGGATTCAGATCACAGTTTGGCTGATAGATCTCAGGTTGCTTCAGTGATTTGTGCGTGGCGTGAGACGCAGACTCGACAGAAAAGACAGATAGAGGTTGAAGCAGAGATGGATACAAGAGAGTGGACAAAGCCCATTCCTACTGGTGACTATATCAACATGAGAAATGCATACATGAAGGTGCATGGAAAGATTGAGGACAAAGTCACTCCGTCAAAGGAGTATCTGGAGAAAAGTTACAGGAACTTGAAAACGGTGAGTTCCGTGCAGAGACCATGGCTGAGGTGGTATCAAAGGACGAGGTGGATCCTGATGTGATGATTCCCATTTTTGATTCAAAGGGAAGCCTTTCTGTCAAGCGGGGATCAACAACCATACCACTTCCTACAGGGCCTGAACAGTTGAGGCGCAGGTTGACAGTCATGCTGAATGCCATTCTCATGCTTGCTTTGAAACATACGAATCGTGAGGAGATTCAAGATGTGTCACGTGATTTGTTTGAGCGTTACAAGGACTACATCTTAGGTGACTATGTTTGGGGACTTTCTTCAACGGATTTGCATGGGAATCAGATCCAGACGCCTCCTTGGAGCTTGGTCCTCAGTTACGAACAGGCTGTGAGAAAGCGTGCATATTATTTGATGGTTTCAGAGCATTTGCAGCTTGGTACAGCACTTGAACAAGCATGGAAGTGCCCAGTTACAAAGGAAAGGCACTTCATTACGCCTCTTGCACTTTACAGCAAACGCTCTTTCCCGAATCAGAATTGGGGAGAATGGAACCCAAAAGGAAAGGGTAAGGGCGGAAAGAGTTCACCTGGAAAGGGAAAAGCGAAAGGAAAAGGGCCAGGGACCACACCCGAGGGTGCCAAGATCTGTTTTCGTTTCAACCAAGGGAAATGCAATTACCAGAAGTGCAAGTTCAGTCATGTTTGCAATCGGTGCTTCAAGAAGGGCCACAACGGTTTGAACTGCAAGGACGAAAAGCCTGCCCCGGACACAACGGGGACACACTGACCAGGTCCTGGCAGAGACACAGGTGCAAGGGAACAGCACAAGTCTTCAAAGAAGATTCTTCGGGTGTTGTATGTTTTCTCAGGGAAACCTAGAAAGAATTCAGTTTCATCATGGCTGCAAAAGTTGTCGAAACGATACAATGTGGCAATAGAGGTTGAGATGGTCGACATTCAAGTGCGACCCTTGCTGGACCTCACTCGTGCAGAAACCCAGCAACGTTTGTTAAACAAGATTGCATCGGGTAGATTTTTTGCAGTTTTATTCAGCCCACCATGCAGCACTTTTTCTAGAGTGGTTGGGGCGAACAGAAGAGGACCGAGGCCAGTTAGATCCTTTGTGCAGCCACGTGGATTTACAAGACTGACATGGGCAGAGCGTAAACGTGCAATGTGGGGCAATACAATGTCAGATTTTACATTCAAAGCTTTTGAAATGCAGGTGAACCAAGGTGGCATGGCTTTGTTTGAAAACCCAGAAGACCTGGGAGCGATCAAGTCGGGGGAGCACAGAGGTAAACGTCCAGCAAGCATGTGGCAGTGGAGTGAGTTTCAACGTCTTCTGGAAAGGCAAGATGTTGAAACGGTTGCGCTTTATCAGCAAGACTTTGGAACTGAGTACTTGAAACCAACACGGTTGTTGCTGGCGAATTTCAAGTATCATCATGATTCTTTCTGCAAAGGTGGGCCATTTTTTGATGAGCAAGGTTTTTACGCTGGTCCACTGGAGTCCAGGGACGCAACAAGACAGCTTGTGGGCAATATTGGAAGTTCCTTTGCAACAACAGGTACGGAGCAGTGGCCTTCAGACATGTGCAAATGGATTGCAGATACAATACTTGGACAATTTACAGAGAAACAGATCAAGGACAGTGTCGTCGCTGACGATGGAGCAGGGGGAACAAACTCTGACACTCTCCCATACCCCATCTTGAAACCAGATGGACATAAACTCTACGGAGGCACTGGAAATCCAAGACAATGTCAGCAACCGGGTAAGGAGAGACAGTTTCATGACGGTGCAGGCCTTTCTTCAATGGGTAGATGGGATGCAAACAAGCGCATCTGGTCTGAGACACCCTTTTGGAAGGAACTGAGAAAGGAGACTTTGGAGATGGTCCTCAAACACGTTGGGGACGAGAGGACATTGAACAGAGCTTGCTTTGAGATGGCGGTGCGTGGCGAGGAAGGATGTGCTATTGTTTCTGATGAAGACCTGAAAGCTAAGATACGCGCACTTTGGATCAGACTCTTGGAAAAACATGGTAGCAAGCAGGAAGGACTTGAGACCAAAGCAGAAGGTCAACCTTTTTATTTGAGGCTCATGAAGGAGTTGCTAGCATTTGCAGGCGATGTTGACAGGGAATTTCTTTTGGAAGGCGAAGTGGGTTTTCCTGTAGGTGTCTTGACACCACTTCCAAGAACGCCTCACGTCTATGAGGAACAAACCAGCTGGCGTTTGGAGGAAGAGCCTCTCATGAGAGAGGAGGTCTGGCGTTCAAATTACCAGTCAGTGGACCTTCATACTGACTTTGTCTACAGCCATTTTGAGGAGGAATGCGAAGAAGGCTTGATGGAGAAACTGACTTTGGAACAGGCAAAAGAGAAATACGGTGACAAAATAGCGATCTCTTCTCTTGCAGTTTTGGTGGAAGAGAACCATCAGGGGAAGCGTCGAATAATACACGACGCAACACATGGAACTTTGGTCAACAACAGGATCAGATGTAGGGACAAAGTCAGGAGTCCCAGTGCACGGGAGAAGCAGTACCTGTTGGCGCTTTTCAAGGGTCAAAACAGTTCAGTTTGCAGTCTAGTAGGAGACATAAGCAAAGCGCACCGGAGATTTCTTCATGCGCCGTGTGAGCGCGGCCTGCTTGCGTGCAAAGTGAAGGAGAGTGACAACTTCATTTACGTGAATAAGGTTGGCACATTTGGAGTTGCATGTGCATCATACTGGTGGTCAAGGATTTCTGGAGCTGGTGTGAGACTGATACATGAGTTGCTGGGCCGTGATATGGCAATTGATATACTTATTTTTGCTGACGATATAGAGGCCATCGCGGCCAACGCTGGTGGAAGGAGGGGGATCACACTATGCTTCCTTTACATGTCTATTTTGGGATTCCCATTTAAATGGGCTAAACAGCGTGGTGGCTTGCGTGTCGAATGGATCGGACTCTACACTGACTATCCAACATTCCGGATTGGATTATCGCCCAGCAGGGCAACTTGGATGCGCAACTGGGTTTTGGAAATGGCCAATAGCGGAGTTACGACTTCAAAGAACTTTGAGCAAGGGTTGGGGAGGCTTGGATTCGCATCTTTGGCTCTCATTTGGGAGCGTCCATTTCTGGGTCCTTTATACAGTTGGTCTGCAGCCGTCCGCAACAAACCAGGACGCTTGCGGATACCAGCTATGATTAGGGCAATACTGCTTTTCTTGGGGTCCAGATTCGAAGAAGGTGGCCAGTTGCAGGAACCACCACCTTTGGCAGGCAGTTACAAAGCTGAGCAAAGCCTCCTTTTTTACACTGATGCCAAGGCCACGGAACATGGAGCATGGATAGGCGGTTACAAACAAGACGCCGAGGGCAACGTGCTGGAGTGGTTTTCAGAAGAGATACCGCATTCGTGGGCGGAATGGATGACTTTGAAGAAAGACCCAAAAAGGGTTATTGCAACATTAGAGTTGTTGGCGAGTTTAGTAGCTGTTAAGCTTTGGATGCCGCAGAGCAAGGAGCATATCAAAGCCACCTGCTATTTGAAGGGTATGACTGACAATTTAGGCAACACATTTGCTGTTTCGAAGTGGATGAGTACGAAGTTTCCTTTGACAATTTTTGTCATGGAATTATCAGAAACCTTGAGGCGGGGCAACTGCCTACTTTCACTGGATTGGGTCAGGCGAGACGACAATCAGCTCGCTGACGACTTGACGAACATGGTCTTTGATAAGTTTGAAATGAAGTCGAGAGTGAGGTGGAAGCCGGAAGCACAAGAGTGGCACATACTGAATCAGTTTCTTGAGCACTCCAAAGGCTTCCACAACGAAATGAAAAAGAGAAAAGCGGAAGTGCTTCCGCCGGTTGCCCAGGTCAAGAAAACACGAAAGAAGTTGAGCCCCTGGTAGCTCACCGATGGCCGTCCTCGATACTTAGGGGCTGGTAGACTCGGAAGCCATTCGGTTGCAAACGTATACAAATGGCAAGTCACCAGCAAGGAAATGGATGTGGTAGCCAAACCTCGTGAAGAGAACAATCGGGCATAAAAAGAAACAGCCGTTCGTCTCATTGCACTGATTCAGTTTCTTGTTGCGGTGATGTCAGTTGTGATGTTTATTTATACGGCGTTTTTTGAATATATTATTTATAGTATACCGTGGCGATAGCCTCACGTGATATTTATACTCGTTTGGAACTTTTTGAATGGTTTGCGACGCGCGTTTACGTGTTTTTATATTGGGAGGGTTTTGGGAGGGTACATGTGCTTACTTAACTAGTACAGCTCGGAGCGCTCTGTAGTCCAAAGTCTGCTCCAATGGCTCGTTTTTGCGGTGCTGTGATCAGTCCTCCTCGGGTGCCTTGACTTAGGTGAACTGTGGCTTGGTGTGGCAAACGGGCTCTTGATGACCCTCACAACTTTTTTTTGTGTTGCGGCCGATTTGAGGCTCGCTCCTAACATTGAGATGCGGGCAGACAAATTACAAACATTATGAAACACCTTGGTTCCACAATCTATCAAAAAACCAAACAGAAACCAGAAATAACAGCGACGACATTTATCTGGTGTGTTTTTTTGCTGTTCATCGTCTTGTCTTATTTCATGATAAGGTACTCAGGTGCAAGGAGCGGCCTGCACCTCAGGCATAGCTACAGAATACACCTTCGCGTCCGTAGACAGAACGAGTTGGGATATATTTTTGCCTTTGTTTAAGTCTTGTTTTGTTCCTGTTTGTTCGTTGTTGTTTTGTTCCTAAGTAGCCACTGAGGCGACAGGGCTTCGACGTGCCAACAGCCGTGCACTATTTGCTTCACTTCAAAGCTCAGACTGGCCCTCTGCAGCTGGCTCTGCAACGACGAGAGAGTCCAAACCTGAGAACTCGTCACCCTGGACTGGTCAGGGTGTCCACCAACTTGAACATCAATGGAGAAATACAAATATATGAAACCTTGGACATGAAATCATGTTCAATCGAATTCCCCAATCTGCTTTGCGAAGAAAAAGATCAGATGAGCCACAAATATTCAGTCATGTCAAACAAACGAAACGCAGTGATGTCAGTGATTCATGTCGTTTGTGATTTATGTTTTTTAAAAAGAAAAATACGGCTTTTTCCGAGCGATCATCATGCGTGCGACGGTATGCACGTAAAACATTAGTACGACGTTAGCGTATATTATGAATGTTGTATGCATACATGTATATGTACAAATATACTTGTACCCTTCAATTTGAGGAGATCCATGTATGACTATAAGCTTTATGTCAGCTTGCTGGTATTTGTTTATAGTCTAATGGACAGCGATGAAAGAGCGTCTCTTCAAAAAAAACAAATCCAAAACGTTTCAAATTCAAAGGAAACAACAAACAAGTGTTTGCTGAAATGTTGTGCAACTAATTTCATCCACAATGCATGTCGCATTTCCCTGTGGTGTTATGAAACCTGAGTTCACGATGATGTGCAAAAAAATGGGACCATGAGTGAATTTTATTTCTTGTGGCATTTTCCTTCAAGCATGTGGTGGGTGGGCGGGTAGCTCACAAAATTGCGGATGTAGAAGTTTTGTTTTACCCTCCCAACTCCGTTTCCCACCCTCTTTTCTAACCCAATTTTGTGGGGGAAGGTCCAACGTTTGGATCATATGCCATGGTGGGGTGTCCACCAACTTGAACATCAATGGAGAAATACAAATAGATGAAACCTTGGACATGAAATCATGTTCAATCGAATTCCCCAATCTGCTTTGCGATATATTATGAATGTTATATGCATACATGTATATGTACAAATATACTTGTACCCTTCAATTTGAAGAGATCCATGTATGACTATAAGCACCCAGTCCAAGTCATGGTTCCTTGCCATGGACTTGGAAGCTGGGGGGAATGATGCACCAGTGCCCAAAGACAGCATTCAGCCAAAATTTGCAGTGGCACTTGGAAGGCTTTGGGGCTGAACCTCAGAGCTTACTTCGATGCCCAGGCCCAGCCACAGTGGCTATATGAAAGGGTTCACAAACACCTCACCTCCTCAAAGGAAGGTGGTGCTTACCTCAGAGCAAATTTGGCTAGCTTGAAGGTTTTCTTGACTGAGCTGAATGTACCAGAGGCAGAACTGGGCTACAAGACCTTAGGGCAAGAAAAGACAGAAATGGAGCCTTGGGATGATCACACAGTCACCTCCAGAGCATTGCTGTGCCTGCTTTTCTACCAGGTTAGGCACAGAAGAACCACTGTTGATGCCAAGCTGAAATCAATCACATTGCTGCAGACCTTGGTTTCTTCACTTCCTGGGCTTGACAAGGGGGCTGTTGGCTTGTCCTCCCAGGATGGCAATGATACACTGCGGAGGGTGGATGTGGCATTTTCATCACAGGGTGTGACGTCAGATTGGCACAGAGTGCTGAGCAGGAATTTTTCAGCCCAGGGTGTGTGGGAGAAGCTTCAGCAACATGAGTGGTGCAAGTGCAAAGTGACCAGTGGATCTTTTGCAGCTAGCATGAAGGATATTTTGTTCTTTCTGTGCTACTTGGTTGCCCACTCCAAGGAGGAGCTGTCACACTTGAACCCATACCTGTTTGTTTGCAAGCATGTCCTGCCAGACTTGCTGTTTTGGCTGGCAAGCTTGATGGATTCTGGTGCCACGAGGCTATCAGCTGAACCTTTGGAGGGGCTGCCTAGCTTGAAGACATTGCATGGCACAAACAAGAGGAAAGCTGACCTTGCAAATAGATTTGTTTTGCTGGACAAGATCAAGAAACACAAGGCTGGAAGGAAGAGGATAGCATCGACCCACACTGACCTGGCACCAGTTCATTCCAATTTGGTGGAGAGGGAGGCACAAACAACAGTTTGCCTCTACCTGCAAAAGGTTTGTGCAATGTTCCCTGACAAGCCTTTGCCAAGACAGTTTGCAATTTCCTGGGATCCAAGAGACTATGGAGGAAAGAGTACAATGGTTAACACAATCTATTCAGTTGTTGCTGATTGTGCTGCCTTCATGCCAAACCAGAGAGGATCAGGAGGTTGATCCTGGCAGATTTGCATGACAGCTTCACTGAAGAGGCAAAAGCCTCAAAGCTTGGAACTTTGGAGGGGTATTTAGAAGTGAGAGCTCTATCACATGCACTACTGCAAGCAACTGGGTGCAGCTTGATGGATTTCAGGGTGCCTGAAACTTTGTTAGCAAGACCATTGCAAGATGGAGAGGCAAGGATATTCATTAATGGTGCTTGGTACATTGTTGGGCCTGGAGATTTGGTGAGGCCAGAGCTGCCACCAGGGTTGGATATTTCCTCTATACCAGCCTTGGTGTCATGCTCTGATCAGGGGCCAAGCAATACATCAAGCTTGAACTTCTTGATGTTTGGACAAGAAAGGCTGATGGTGCAAGTTCAATATGATTGCTTCCACCGAGGTTGGAATGATGTGAAGCTGAGTGCCAAGAGGGCACTTGGCTACCTTTGGAAAACAATGCTCCAGTTGGTGCCCCTCTTCAACATGAATTATGCACCCTTTCAGTCATCAGCCTTCTTCTACAAGAAACAAGCTGTTCTGGAGAACTTCCTGGGGACAAGAACCTACAAGGACCCCAGCTTTCAAGCAGCAATCCCAATGATATGCAAAGAGAGAAGGATCAGTGAACCTGAGTGTGCTGAGGAAGAGCAAGAGCTCTTCAGAAGTCTGGCCATATTGGGAATTCTCAGAAAAAAGGTTCCTTGATTAAACTTCTCAGATGGATGTCATTTTTTGAAGTGGCATTGGAATGGAAAGGCGACATGTGGGCAACCAAGCTCATACTTGAGTCTGATTTGAAAGAGGCTGACAGCCTTGAACAAGGTCTAGCAGTGGACCTACCAAAACCGATCCAGCAGCAGCAGCAGGAACCAGAAAAAGAGCAAAGCAATCTGGATGCAAAGAAAGAGATTAATGAATTGAGAAAAACTGCTGGCACATGGAAGCTGGCACCAAAAATGGTGTCACAGAAAAACATTTCAACTTTAGACATGCTGCTCTTGGTATGCAGGGCCACCTGGAAGTGCCATGCAGAAAGAGCCAGGATTATAGTGTCACCTCCACAGGTCTTGCAGCACAACTTGGCATGCTCCCAGGCAGCTTTTTGGGCATTTGAGTTGGAGGAGATGGTGGCATCAGCGCTTTGGAAAAAACAAGAGCTGAGAATGATGCACCCTATGGACCAGGACAACCAGCAGTTGCTACTGGAACATGCTGTTTTTTTTCCACCATTTGCTCAGCTGCAGGGCCACATCCCTTGCTGCTGCCCACACCATGCCACCAGTGAGGTGGAATGGTGTCTTGCTGGGCAGCCCTGCTGAAGCTGCTCTAGCCAGGGACACCCTACTACAGGAGTGGGAGCTGCTTCTAAGGCTTGAGGCTGCAAGTCTCCACACAAAAGGAAAGATCCCATGCTTGGAAAAAATGCATTGGAGACTTGGCACATATGTGAGGGTGCTATGCATGGCCCACCAGAAGGACAAGTACATGGGGCTGTCCTGCCAATCTGGCAGCGCATTTCAACTCCAAATGCTTCTTGCCAAACACTTGGGAGACTCAAGGGTCATCGAGGTGGCCCACCAACAAGGCCCTGACTTGCAAAGGCTCAACAGGAACAACTCTATGACTGACATGCAGATCATGTTTGGCACCATCAACTCTGGGGCCCTGAAACAGAGAAAAGTTGATTGTGTCCAAGTTGCACCCCATGAGCTGGTTTACAGCAAAGCTACAAGGCATGACAATGTGAGGAAAAAATTGTCACCAAATTCACACAAGCTTGACCCAGGCCTTCAAAGGATGATGCGCAGAAGACAAGGACAGAACCACTGGCCATCACCATCACCTTCAAGCCTCTTCCCTTCAGTTGCTGCTACAGAGTGGGCGATGTCTTTTTTGAAAGGTGAACACCCAGGAAGCAACCTTGAAGATGCTTGGCTGTTTTGTGTGGCTGGAAAGCCTGGTGACATATTGGCACACCAGCCCAGTGCATCTTTGTGGAAAGTTGTTGGCTGTGCAGAATATGCTTTCTTGGGCTGGTCCATGGATGCTGCCAGCAACAGCACCTTCTTCATGAGGCCCAACAGGAACCTTTTGCAATGGAAATTCATCACAGGCTACATGTCCCTACACTGCCCTTCCTTGCTGATGATGGTATCATCCAATGGAAAGCCACTGGCCCAGCTTTGCCTTTGCAAATTGCACTTGCCCAGGGTGGTCATGCTTCGAGTGTTGCCCAGATGAAGAGGTTGCTGAAGCAATTCAAGATTCAGGTTGCAGCTGGCCTTAACAAGGCTGGGTTGCAGCAATGCTTGGTGGAGCATTTCCTGGGCAACAAGGATGGCCAGAAAAAGGCACTGGATGCCTTTCAGGCAGCTGATGCAAATGTCATGATGGACAGTGACTTGGAAGATTTGGTGAGCTGTCTGGATGAGGAAGATGCAAACCAGCTTGATTTGAAGGAACTCAAAGACAAAAAACGAAAGAAAAGATACCCAAAAAATCTGCCATGGGCAGCAAGGTTCCAGACAGGAACCAAAGACAGAAAGGCAAGGGCAGAGGAAAAGGAAGAGGCAGGAGAGGCAAAGGAAAGGGTCGAGGTCGAGCAGGATCCAGGCCCAGAGTGCCAAAGGCCTTTGCAAAGAAGCAGAAGAAGGAGCACCAAGAGAGCCAACCCAGAACTCCAACCCATGAGCGGCCTCCATCACCTAAGCTAGGTGACGCACCCATTCTTCAGCCAGAGAGCCCTTTCCTCAGCCCATCCACAAAAGAGGCAGCCATGTCAGAGATGGCAGCAGAACCAGAATCTCCACTTGCAGAGTCAGCCAGCACTTTGCCAGGTGCAGAAGATGTTCCAGCAAGCTTTGCACAGCCTGTCCTAGTCCATCAAGCTCTTCAGCTGCAGCACCATCTTCTCAAGCTCCCAGTGGTGATGCTAGACAGGCACCACCAAAACAGCCAAAAGGCATCCCAAGACCCAAGATCTATTCCACACCTATAGAGGTGCTGGAGAAGATGCTGCCCCAAGGGGCCAAGATAGTGTTAAGCCACGATGAACACAGATTTTTGACAACTTGGGTGGGAACCAGTGAAGGTATCCCACTGGATTTGAAAGGAAAGTATTTTTCCAGATCCTTCAATGCCAACAAACCTTGGAAGCAGGCCCTTTCTGAATGTCACCACAGACTGTGGGAAAAGTGGTCTTTTGTGGCTGCCAAGCACCCTCTTCCAGCAGGGGTGGCACCCCAGGAACCTGGGAAGGTGCCAGAGGATGTGCTTCTGAACTTGGAGCCTTTCATCCAAAAACTGCCTGAAAAGAAGAGTTACTCCAGCAAATAACTTGAACTTCTCAATGCAAAACATTTGAAACGTTGAAAAATTGCTGCAGACTGCTTGCTATTTGGTGTGTGTGAGCATGCTTGCAGTTAGCTGAGCTGCCTTTGAGCAACTAACTAGTTACAAAGATTTCACAGAGAAACAGTTTGGGCCAACATTGACAATTCAGTTCCCTGTCATTTTTGGCACATCAATTCTGCCTTGCTTGCAGGGAATGAAGGCGTTCATGAAATGACAGCCATGTCTTGGAAGCTCGGCGCAGGCTCCACGGAGCGTAGTTTCACCAAAGTGTATATCGTGGAAGTTCCTTTGAGTTTATTTCCTGAGTGTAAACTGACTACGCTCTTTTCTAACTCAAAATTTAACACCGTCTTTTAGGTGTTGTTTTGTCAACCTGTTGAAACGATCAAACCTGATTTCTGCTCACAAGTTTGACGTCTCAACTTTTCTGTGTAAGAACGGTAGCCACATCTAAGAAACCAACTAAACAGAGAAACCTTCGAAATCATTGCACTGATAATCACATATCTTGTGCTGTGACATTTCTGAATCAAGGGTCGTGGAGTGGCGGGCATTGAAACTTGTTTTTCAATCCAAACAAGTTCTTTCTCAGCGTTACGGGGGTCAACCTTTTAACATGGCATGTTTTCAACTTTTGTCAGATCACTGGTTTTACTTGTTAGGGCTTTTTCGACACCACATGGATCTCAAGGGATTTCGCAAGCGATGGGCTGCTGGTCAAGAGCCAGCTGACAGCGTTGGGAGTCCATCGACACCACCCTTGGGGTCTGAGCCTGGTGCAAGCCTTGCAGTACATGACAGTGGTCAACATATAGGAGGGTATCAGCAACTTAGCAGTGCTTCTTCCAGTGAAACTGTGCAATACATACCACAGACACATGTTGAACAAACTGGAATTTCAACTGCTCTTTCTGTGTTGCGATCCTCCAAGAGAGTGAAGATGCCGTGGGAGTCCGGACCTCTGGCGCCAATTTTCAATAGAGAGAGTTTCAACAAGCGATTTGATGTCAAGTCTTCACAGCTTGGTTTGGCAGACGTTTTGAATCCTCGTCCCAAAGCTCAAGCAGTCTTATCAGAACCTGCAGCTGTGGAGGCACCTCTCGAGTTTGTAAGGAAACGCATTGCATGTACTTCTTACAACATTCAGGACGACGAGCTGCGGTCACGGGCCTTAAATCATTTCAGAGTTTTGGTCAACTTGGATTTGCATGCAACTGGAATAGGTGAATCAATGTTGAACTGTGTTGGCAATCTTGATACGAGCACAGATGTTTTGCAAGTACTTTCAGATGCCTTATCCAGTAAAGCCACTGGGACACTCTTGAAACGCTCCTCATCGCTCTGGCGCTGGGCCAACTGGGTGGCGACTACTGACAGAGGCACTTGCTTTGATCAGACAGAGGACACAGTATATCGGTATATGAATCACCTGCGTGACAATGGAGCTGCACCAACAGCAGCCAGTCATTTTGTTGAAGCCCTCAGATTTAGTGATCAGATTTTCAGACTTAAGAAGATGAACTTGCATTCAGTTCTCACCTCACGAGTCACTGGAGCAGCTCACACCATGTTTTTGCAGAAAAGGAAGCTACAACAGGCACCAGCCTTTACCGTTGAGGCCGTTGGCATTCTGGAGGACCTATGCAACGAAGATCCACGAGCACATGTCAGAGTCATTTGCGGTGCCATTTTATTTTGCATTTTTGCTTGCATTCGATGGTTTGACGCAATGCGCATTGAGTCAGTGTGGCTCGACAATTACATAACTATGTGTTTGCTTGAGGCCGAAACTTCCAGACACAAGACGTCCATGACAAAAGAGAGCAAGACACGTTTGTTGCCTTTTACAAGCTTGGGCAGGTTTATAGGCGCTGCTGACTGGGCTCAGAGTTTCATTCTTGCAAGGACCAACACTGGTCTGGATGAGGGAAAGATTTTCTTACCCTCGTGGAATGAGGTGGCACAGACTTGGTCTTCCTGTCCAATGTCCTCAGGCGAGGCTACATGCTGGATACGTGAACTGCTGGCGGCAAACCGGGTGCAGCAAGCCTGGAAGTTTTCTAGTCACAGTTGCAAGTGTACCCTTCTCACCTGGGCTGGAATGTGTACCCTTTTTACAAGGGAAGAAAGGACGCTGTTGGGGCATCATGTGGAGCCTCAGACACGATCAAGCACCATCTACAACCGGGACTCTCAGATTCTTTTACAGCACAAGGTTCTGAAACTTATCAACTTGATCAGGACTGGAAAGCTGAAGCCAGACGTTAGCCGGGCTGAGCGTTTGAGCATGATGGTTCAAAAAGGGACAAAACCTCTTGATGAAGAGGTTGCTGAACATTGGCAGGACCCCG